ATGCATCATGTAAAGGTACAATTCCCAATGAGAAATGTAATTGTGTTGTATACCTACAATGTACCAATAAAAGAATTTAATAAAAAAAAATATTCTGGGTCAGTTGTATGTAACCCTGAAACCTTTAAAGGCATGCATCAGTTCTGCAGTTAATGAGAAGAAAGCATTCAAATCATGAAAATTTCCTTGGAAAAAAACAAAGAACTTTTTTCTTTACATACTAAGTTTTTCTTCCAGTGTTAAAATTAAGACCAGGGTAATATACAAAAAATTTCAAGCACATATATGTTAGGAGAAATGCCAAAAGGACAACATACACAGAAAAAACTAGGTGCAGGACAATGTACACATTAGGTTATAGATTAGACAGAAAAGGCATAATTAATAAATGAAAATGTAAAAATCTATGGATTAAATTTGTCTTAATTTAATATTTGGTCATTTGTTATGAATAAACATTTGTTAAGGGAAGACTCAACATTCAACTCCTTATCTCCTAGATAAAATCTTTTTTGTGTGTGTGGTTGGGGGAGGTGAGATGGAACTCAGGACCTTGCACTTGTGAGGCAGGCATAGTGCCACTGAGCTAAATCCCCAGCCCTCTCCTAGATAAGATCTTTAATTTTTTCACAAGATTCTTCAGTTTTAGGCACTGCCTAAATGAAGATAGCACCAGAATAATATCATAATGTCTATAATATTAACAAAAATGAATTCCACTTACCCTCCATCCTGATATATTTACATACCATACATCTTGTTTGTTTGTTTTGAGACATGGTCTCACTATTTAGTTCAGGCAAGTCTTGTACTATGTAGCCCAAGCTGGCCTTGAACTTGTGGCAATCCTCCTGTCTCAGGCTCCTGAGTGATGAGATTACAGGCGTGCACCATCACACCTGGCACCATTTGACTGTATATTTTTATATAGTCAAAAGTTGACTATATGACCATTTAACAATGAAGTTAAATAAGTTCTGTAAGAATTTCATAGTCTTTGATATTTTATAAAAATATCAAAAAATCCAAAGTTAGTGTGAGGCACCAAGTAAATTTGTTTTTAAGGTTTTTTAATTCAGTCTTTTTTGTTTTTAGTGTTTTCTGAGACAGGATCTTGCTATGTAGCCCAAGCTGGCCTTGAACTCTCACCTATCCTCCTGCCTCAGCCTCCCAAATGCTGGGATTACAGGTGTGCACTGCACTCATTTAAGAATGATACATAAGAGTGTAAGTCCTTCTACAGAAAAATTTTAAATGTGCACATTAGTGCTACAAGTTTCCAAAGTCAAGCAAGTAATGGAATGCTGATTATTGAATTTTATGTTGATGGTTACCTCTAGGCAGGGAATGAGAAAAACAGGATCAGGGAGCCATATAAAATCCTCAAAATTGCTCTTATTTAGATCTAAAACAAATCCTACAATACCAATTTTGATAAAACAGGATGAATGAGTGCTTATTGATTCATTCTGTCATCAACACATGTACAAATGAAAAACCAAACCAAGACAACCAGCATTTTGCAGAAACAATGACCAGTGAGAATACTGAGGCATCAACAGCATTTACCAGCTATGTGCTTTATGAGCTTCACCTGAAGAGCAATAATTTATGCATCTTTTATTTCAATACAAATCTATATTTTGACACCTCAGATTTAATAAAATGGATTTCCATTTTTCTTAAGTGAAAATTAAATCATAAAGCAGTATTTTAAGAAAATACTAAAGATCATACATACTTCATTTGCTCTGGTTTACAACTGTATACATTCTTTCCCACTTGTATTTTATTCCATGACTCACCATTTCCTCAACTGAAACCAAAAAGGTGTGGTTTGTTTCTTTATTTATTTATTTATTTATTGGTGCTGGGGATAGAACTCAGGGCCTCATGCATGTTAAGCATGTGCTCTATCACTAAGCTATATCCCCAGACCCAAATAGTATACTTAAATCCAAAAATCCTTGAATACATACTCATTTAGAATAGTCATAGAGGTTCTTCTTGAAAAAGAATTCTCAGATCAAACAAGATAGAAAAATGGACATTACTGTAATACTTCCTTGTCACAGTACACACCAGCTTTTTCTCCATAGGAAGGAGAATCCTATGGTTTGAACCCAGGATTCTTTCCTTATGAGATCCATAATACCTTCTTTCTAGAAAGTGTGTTCTGGGAGAACACGTGAATTAATCTGTATCATGTCCATTTCTAAATACTTGCCATTCCGAAATAATTGTTTTCTGAAAATGTTATACTGAAGTAGTTCTTCATCTTTACATAGAACAAATGCTATATATAAAGCCCCCAAGTGTTGGCTTGTTTCTTTTACTGACTCATTAGTGCAACTTTTTTTAACCTTAGAAAATCCATTCAAGAAGGTATTGGCAAAATCACATAATCCAACAATTAATATAACTTTAAAAGTACTCCCAGTCATATTTTGCAAAAAAGCATTTAAGATTTTTAATCTTCTCTAAATTTGTATATAATTTCACTGATTAAAAAATTTAAGCATTAACTAGAAAATGTCTTAACTCTTGGTACTGAAAAAGATTCTCCCCTTTATGGTGCTTGGGATCAAACTCAGAGCCTCTCACAAGTGGTAGGCAAACTACTGTATATCCCTTGCCCTAGTTTTTTTTGAAGTGTAAAATGAGCAGGGCATGGTAGTGCATATCTGTAATCCCAACTACTTAGGAGGCTGAGGCTAGGACGACAGTGAGTTCAAGGCCAGACTGAGCAACTCAGCAAGACCTTGTCTCAAAATAAAAAATGAAAAGGGGTTGGGAAGCAGCTTAATGGTTGAGTGCCTCCCTAGCACAAGTTCAATGTCCAGTAACATCAGCAAACCAAACCAAAACAAAACCACCCCAAAACTGATTTTTCCATTTTTAACTGAAATTTGCCTGAAATTATCCTAATCTAAGTCACACGTAACAATCTGTACATAGACACATGCATATCCTTAATATATGTTTTTATATGGTCTATTCTTTCAAATGGAAACTATTAAAAAATTAATTCCAGTAAGTGTTTACTGTATACTATTTGATAAATCACATATTTTTCTCAAAAATCTTCAATTTCCCTTTCATAGACACTATCTTCAAAGTGAACTTAAATTAAAATGGATTAAGAATCTATTTGTGACATGGGCCGGGGATTTAGGTCAGTGGTTCTGCTGCCTGCCTCACAAGCGCAAGGTCCCAAGTTCGATCCCCGGTACTAAAAAAAAAAATCTATTTGTGACAGTTAAGCTCAACTGTCAATTTGATTGACTTGGGAGCTACCTAAAATGTCAGTACAGCATACTTCTGGGCATATCTGGGTAGGTCATAGAGGCACCGGAGGGTCTATAACTGCTCCCTGGGCCCTTCCTCTCTGGCTCCGTTTCCTGCTCTGCTTTCTGGCCACCATGAACTAAGCAGCTTTGCTCCACTACACCCTTCAGCTATGATATCTTTGCCTTGGAGTCAGCTAACCATGGACTGAACTCACTGAAACTATAAACGAATGATGGCAAACCTTTTAGAGATGAATGCCTAAACTGCAACCCAAAACCAACTTATTTATCACAAAGTACCAACACTGCAATTAACTTGAATACTGAGGTTTTAGTTCAGAAAAAAAGAACTCATATAGTAACATCTTTTGTCTTAAAAGAAAAATGAGTAAAAAAACAAAGGAAAAGAAAAACAAGTACAGTAACATGCATGCCATAGGTTTACCACCACTGCTATAAGCCATGTGAAACTACTCCTCTAAGTTGCAGGTGCCAGGTCTTTTGTACTAGCAGCAGGAAAACTGATCAATATGCTATTTGTTTGAAGGAATTTCTATTAGAATAAAATTGCCTATGTTGCTTGATTCATCAAAGTTGCCTGAAATTCAAACCTTTTACCATCAATTACTGACTGAATTCTGATAAGGAGAGTAGAAAAAACCTGTAACGAAGTCACAAGAATTTTGTTTGCTGTAGCAAATACTTTAATGGCATTTGACACAACTCAGAATCTTCTGTGAAATAGGTTCAAGTTGGTGAGACTAAGTAAGCCAGGGTGGAGTCTTTATTTTAAAAAAAGGAAAGAAAAAGAAAACAAGCAAATTATGCATTTCACATAATAACAAAATATAAAATGGAAATTAAGTAACAAGATAGCTAAGGAAAAAATTTAAAGACTTTGATTCAATCCATCTGACTTGTTAATAGTCCTCTTTGTCCTTCCATTGTTATAGACAAAAAACAGGTCTCATAATAACTTAAGATAGCCTTGAAATCTCTTACTACGAGGTTAAAAATTTTTTTAAATGTGTTCAAATAGTTTATAAATACTATTAACAAAAATATTTCTTTTATTATGCTTTTTGTCTTGCTTCAGTAAAGATGTCCTTTTAAACCATCCTGTTTCTTAACATTGTTTCACACATTCAGACATATGTTAGCTTTCTTCCAAGGTGATAATCTCAGGTTATCACAATATTTCCAATTAAGAAAGACAACAGTAGGACTGTCCCATATGAGGTAAAAAGAGAGCACTGTACACAACAGATAAAGTTCCTTGACTAAATGAAATCAAATTATAGATCATCCAATTAACATTATATGTTGATAGTTCAGCACTTTTCAAGTATCACTTTCAAATCCTATGCTACACCTCAGTATGAGGTTTCTTATATAAGGTAGAAATTCTTCATTTCTGTAAACATGCAGTGCCAGTTGTTTCCTCAAGTAGTTTTTTTCCTTAAGAAAGTTGCTCCAGGTAAGAATCATTTACTTATTATGCCCAGATCCCAAAAGAAACATTTTTCTGTGAAAAGACAGAAATACCCAAGTAATATGAAAGCTCTCTGTAATCAAGGGATTGCTTACCAATTACAAATATGTAATCAGTCCCTACAGGACAGCACTGATGAACTAAAAATTTACTCCAGTTACTCAGAGCTCATCTGATGTGCTATTTACCTTTGTTAACTTACACTCTTCATTGGTTTGACAATTCTGAAGAATGTCCTTATAGTGATTCTTCATATCCTCATATAATGAAACAGTTTCTTGTGAGTGAGCCAAGGGTAACACCTTTTCATTCAATAACATCTGCACTTGGAATTCTTCTTTAGGAGTCTTAGCATTTTCACAATGGTAAAGCACAAATATGAGGTTTGAGGCATAAGGTACAATGTGGCCGCTTCGGAATTTCCTATGCATTTGTTTCTTGTAATTATAAGCTGTTAGGGGTTCCTTGTCTTTGAAGTAGCCCATGAGAGAAAGAAGTGGAAGAAGGGTCTCTGCATGACCAAACTGGAGGATGACTGGAGAAGACACTGGCTGAGACCTTGAAAGAGGAAATGAGGGGAGAAAAATATACATATTCACGTTATCAAACATAATATTTATACTCAGAAGTAGTATCCAACTTTCCCATTTTTTTTAGTTTAATCTTATTTTAAAAAGCATATAACTGAAATCCTGTAAACTGAACTTTTTACACTAAAAGTTAAGTTCCAAGACTCAGGATCACTGTAGTATGGCAAATGCATCTAAATAAATTTATTAAAAACCCACCCAAGTACATAGACATTATCCTTTCTGTGGTTAAAGGAACTTGAAAGAGAGGTGCACTTCAATGCTGTGATGCCTTTCTATAGGTGAAACTGAACAAACTGGCCCTTAATAAATAGATAATTCCATGGGGCTCTTCTAAATAAACAAAGTGGTTCTTCTTTCCCCCTACATTTGGGGGGTATGGACAAGTGCTATTCAATAAATTTCTTGGTTAAGATCAAGTCTGAACTGTGAAGTAATTCATGTCTTCAATGGTTTACAAGACTTGATTTGGGCACCAAATTCAGAATAAAGCCACAAAAGGGTAGCAGTGCAATCTATACTAGTTCATAAGTTTCTGGTTGGGAGTGGCAGTTTATACACTGCCAGAAACCAACCACTTTCAATATTTTTTTTGTATGACTTTTTTTTCTGGTAAAAATTTTAATAAGAAGCAGCAAATGACTACTTAACCTTTTCCCAACTTTTATAGAAAGAATGACTACTGTTCTTTAATATAATTTGTAAACCTATTAAAACATGACTACCTTCTTCCTACCACTCCACATATCAAATTATACATTTAGTGCATCTGGATTTTATAGGAAGACAGAGCAGTAGTTTGGGACATTCCTGATTTCCCACATATAACAGTAAATCCCCAAACCCCTGAAAAACACAAAATAACTGCATAGTCAAGTATTCTCTATGAACCACCAATAGCCTCAAGAACTGCCTATTATTTGTATCTGTCAAAGGAAAAAAGCAGAGGGAAGCCACTGACTGCCTGAGCAATCTCAGAAGGGAGAATCCCAAATAACCAACAGGTATTCATTGGGAATTTCTGTGGGCCAATCTGAGATGGCAGCTGTAGCAGGGAACAGTGTAGCCCACTCTAGTACTCAAGTGAGTACAAAATAGGCAGCTTGTTAGGCTCAGGAGAAACCTAGTCCCCATGAGCTCTTTAAACACAAATCCATACTAAAAAGAAAGAGACACAGCCACTAGGGACAGATAAAGGAAAGAGTAGGTCCAGATGAAAGTAGGGGATGGGAGAGACTTAAGAAACCTCAGCAAGCAGCCCACTGTGTTTCTGAACAAGAAGCTCTGTGAGGTTAGAAAAGTAGCCCAACTCCAGCATTCTCAATGTTCAGGAAAACTCAATTCACATTAAAATGAACTATGTGAAAGTAATAGAAGAGAATAAAGAGCCAGAAAACATTCATACAGAAACTGAAAGTATGCTAGAAACACTCAAAAATATATGAAAACTGTATCAGTATTTCAAAAACAGACCAAAAGACAGTTTCACAACTTTGAGATTAATATTCTCACTTTATCAAAGGTATACTTTAACTAGGTCATCTAAAGGATTTCTAAGAAGTATCCACTTAGGTCCAAAGTAACAAAGCAGTAGCACTCAGATTACAGCTATATAAGTATTTTGAAATTTTGCCTTTGTCAGTATTTAAGAACTGAGAGATTAAACAATGATAAAAATCCAGATTTTTAAAATTTTCTTGGAAACCTGAAAGATATATTTCCATAAAGCAACAACCAGCTGAACAGGAATACAATTACTCTCTAAAGAGGGCATATAAGGAGAAGTAAAAAGAATTAAGATGTGTTATGTTTATGTGCCAACTCCCCGCAATGAATGTTATCATTATGTACTATAAACATGTACTAATAAAAATAAAACTAAAAAGGAGCATACAGCCAATAGTACATATATTATTGCATATTGATTACTATAAGATAAAGTCATTCCTCTGCTACTTGCCAGGCCCCTTTACACATTTAAGTCATCATTTAGATAAAATGGAATTTAACAGTGACACAAATTCAAAGAAAAGTAATCCAAATGTACTGGTTTGCATATTAAATTCTTCAGTCATTAGGCAGAAGCCACAAAGGCAGGAACAACCCTATTCCCAAAGTGCCATTTTTGTTCTCCATGAGGGTAGGACACAGGCGAGGACAGCAGCAATAACAGCAAAGCCTCTATTTTTCCAGAAACTCTCTTCTCTTTCCCAATGAACAACTCCAATAAACCAAGGGTAAGATATAAGGCAATATATCCAAAATATTATTGTTTCAACATGTAACATACAAAATTATTAATGAGCTTTACATTGTTTTTTGTACCAAATGTTCATGTAGATACCTCAATTCAAACCATCCCCTTTTCAAGTGCTAACTAACCATATACTGCTGCTGCCTATTGTGTTGGAACAGGAAGGTTGGACAGTGGTAGGGACAGTCTTAAATTCAAATATTAAATAAAGGAGAAATAGAAAAAAAAAAGATACCAGATAAATAAAAATACACATATGGAAAACGTAGGTTGAGGAATAAGAATAGACCAAAAAGGCTAAGTGCAAATTACAAGAGTTCAAAATCTGTTAAAACATATTCAAGCTTTAGAAGAAATTAAATCTAGGTTGTGACTCAAATTTTTTTTAAGTGCTGGGGACTGACCCCAAGGCTTCAGGCATTCTAAGCATGTGTTCTACCGCTGAGCTACAATCCCAGTCTTGACCCCAATTTAACTTTTAAATCTGAAGGTTCTTTGGGTTTAAACAAAAAGCAGTTACCCCCATTATTTTTCTTTTGTCTGCCTTGCTGTTAAACATATTTTAAAACCATATTTTTTTCAGAAGAAAATGATGATGTTTTAAAAATGCTTACTGGAGAACTCAACAAAATTTAGGCCTCCCAAAATAAAAGATTCAATAAAAAATGGACGATTGAAATAGACACTTCTCAAAAGAAGTGCAAATGGCCAATAAGTATATGAGAAAACATTCAGCAATTTTTGTACCTTTTGCCATTAGACAAATGCAATCAAAACAACACTGAGATTCCATCTTACTCCAGAAAGAATGTCTATCATCAAAAACGAAAAACAACAAATGCTGGCAAAGTTGTGAGGGGAAAAGGAACCCTTCTACATTGTTGGTGGGAATGTAAACTATTAAAACCACTATAGAAATCATTAGATTACTCAAAAACTAAATATAGAAATTCCATTTGACCTAGCCATTCTTCTTCAGGGTATCTTTGTGAAAAAGGGAAAGACATCATATTACAGTGATACATGGATTTCCATGTTTATAGCAGCATAACTCACACTAGTTTAATCTTCAGAGTAACCTATATGTTTATCAATAGATGAATAAAGAAAATTTGGCATATATACACAATGGAATGCTACTCAGCCATGATAAATTTGAGTCATTTAAAGGAAAATGGACACACCTTGAGTCCACAGTGCTAAGTGAAATAAATCAGACACTGGTTAAACATTGCATTGTTTCTCTAATACAAGAAACTCAAAGTATAAATAAAGAGCAAAATAAAAGACAAATGATAGGAAACAGGCTTTGTGAAGATGGGGAGGATATCTGGTGATGAAGGGAGAAGGATGAGAAAGGGAAGTAAAAAGGATCAAAATGCAATATGTGTATGTACCAATGCCCCACAAAGGATGTATTTATTATGTCTCACAAAAATGTACTAAAAAATAAAATAAAATGCTTACTGGGAGTTTTATGATAAATCAAATTGTTTATACATTAGATTCACACAGGAAGCCAAGTAATCAAAAATAAATTATTGTCTTAGGCCATTTCATTAATCTCAATTTAATTATATATTTTTAAGTTCCATTTTTCAGTAGGAAGGAAAATTGCCAATTTTTTATAAATGCCATGAGTATCATTTTCTTATACAGAGCAATCTGTATTAGAGAAGTTTACAACATATAAAAACCAGTATTTAAAAGGTCAGGTCAAATGTGCCAATACACAAAGATACATTAAGATTGTATGATCAAAACTAGTCACTGTTTCTATGCCACAAAACAGTTTATAAACTAGAGAGCCATCAAAGTTAGAACAAGATTTTGCTCAAAAATACAAATGTGCCTAGAGGAAATAATAAACAACTTAAAACTGTATTTTTGTATTTATGTATAACCAAGTAAAATATTTTAAGTTTATGAGATAATGCTAAATATAAAGAGGAAATGAGCAGTTTTATTTTTTTTTCTTCGTAGATAGCACATACTCTTGCAACTTCAGAAAAGGGATCTGGCTGGCTGGTGTTGCTTACATATACTTATACAAAGGCCCCTAGACAAAATAGCTGTGTTCAATCTTCCAAAACATAATAAAGAAGAGAGACTTTTCAGAGATCCATTTGGTTAACTCGTTAGATGTCACAGGTCCTATCATTCTATGCCAAGTTCCAGGCACCATCCTAGTTTCGTTCTTTAGGGCTGAGGCATGGGCTGGAGAGAAAGCAGTGAGGCAAAAGAATCTCTTACAGATTAGCATGTGTCTAAGTTTTAGAGAACCTGGAGAAGGAGATGAAATTCTTCTGAGGGACAACTGCACAGGCTTGCCTGAGGAATTGGTGTTTGAGGTGCTATGAAAACATTCCTAATAAGTTTTAAAGTGCCAATGCTGCTCATGGCAGCTAAACTAAAGTACAGCAGCTGGTTTACACTATAGTGTGAGTATTATACCCTTTTAGAGATGACAAAAACTGAGAAATTACTTCCCTGTTATCTTTGAGCCACCAATTTAACTCACTACAAAACTAACATTCAATAAATTCACAGGAGTAGTTTAATTTTAAAACAAAAACAAAAAACAAACAAACAAGGGAGTTAGTAGTGGAGCGCTTGTCTAGTGGAACACTTGTGCAAGGCCTGGTTTCGATCCCCAGAAGTCACAAATAAATAAAGTTGCACAGAATCTCATTGTGTCTAGTGAAGCTAACAAT